TTATGACGACCTAAGAGTTGTGGATTTATCCTAGGAACTCATATTATGAATCATAATGACAATAATTCTCTGTGTGAACAAAGAAATGAAACGCACACAACCCAACTGTGAAACCTCTAATATGCCTAGCCTGGCAAGAGCTTTGGAGGCTATCGCATCTACTCTTCAACAACAGGGCGCTGCTTTAGTGCAACAGCACGAAACGACTCTGCAACAATTAGAAGCGGCTAGGCTGAGTTCTGAAGCCAGTCAAAGAGAACATGAGGAAGCCTTAAGGCAACTATCTGAGAATGACATGTTTGTAGAAGCTCAAAGGATTCGAGAATGGACCTTAGAAAACTTTCTACAACACCGTCCACCTACCTTTAATGGGAGGACAAGTCCGGATGAGGCTGATCTATGAATAAGAAATATGGAAAAGATTTTTTATGCGAAAAATTGTTCATCGAAAACTAGGTTAACATACTCCGAGTATCATCTGTTTGGAGAAGCAATACACTGTTACACTAACATGAAGCTAATATTACATGAAGGTGGTGAGATAATTAAATTGTGTTTCGCTTATACGTAAAATTTTTAAAAAGTTGTTGATTTTGATAATTTTGGGATAAAATTGCATTAAATGGTGAAAAAAGTGAGTTTGTAATACATACAAAGGTTTTGATGGATAATGATGAAAAGGGTATATAATGTTTGGAATAGAATTGGCATATAAAGAGTTAATTTTGACAAGAGCCATGGAAATTGGCAATGGTACAGGATTCTTCTGGTTTTTTGCCCATTCTCTCAAATCAAATTATTACCTCCTTCAATCATTGACTTCCATATATCTATTATTCTCAAATCAATATATATGCTCTTTTAATATACAACCCTTATTACAACACCATCAACTTATTCTATAAATATTTCTTTTACCATCATTACAAGAAAAAGAATTCAAAACTAAGAATAAAGAGCAACCTCTTATACCATTCTTGGAATATTTTCATTATTATTATTATTATTATATGAGAAGAGTTCAAAAACTATTTCAATAATGTAGGCTAATCCTTTACTCATTAATTATCCTAAATTAGGCCAATCCATTCATTTACGTAGTTCGAGTTAATTTACAAAACTTTTAGTTTATTAAAAAATATATTATATTAAGTTAACTCACTTTTTTAACTATTATGGTGAATGTAATAATTTTTTAATTACGAATTTTCGGTAATGTGCCTTAACGCTTTTTCTTCTTGTAAGATATATAACCATTTTTTAACTATTATTTGATACGTTTAGGACTGAAACCTCAATGAAAAAAAAAAGTTATAAAAAACAGAAAAAACTGATAAGCAAAATTGCAAATGGTATTTTTCCAAATAGTTCAAGGTAAAAGATGATCATTACTTACATTTATATGCTATAATATAAGAATTAAACTTTTCCTAATTCACTAGAGGTTAATCATTTAACAAAATAGTTTAAGTTGAACTCATGATTGTTCCTACTTCAATGTTTTAACAAAATAGTATGGAATTTGGGTTTTCTCCCCAGACAAAAAATATCATGATAACAATATAGACTACACATAACTGGTCAAAATCTTTTTTATTTTTCCGGTGCAACATATTCTCATGTACATATCAATGAAAATTGATGATGGTTTTCTAGCTCGGGTTTATTTACTGCATCATAGTTATTACATAAATAAACGAGGAACTAGAAATGTCAATTTTACATAAATCAGATAGCTGCAGATTAAGTTTTGAGGTGTCTAAGAACTCTTGTCAGCAGCTTTTACCAAGGAGGTGAAGTTCAACCTGAAAATAATCAGTCAACATGAACAGAGAGAATTAAACACTTGAACAAAAATAAGTTTAAAGTAAAAGTAGGAATATGATTAATAATGGAATATACCTGATAAGAGGCTTCTTCAGCGGTGCAGGTGCAGGAGGCACAGTTAACAATGGTGCTGTTAGCTCAGCAGACTTTTGCAAAAAGGAAGAGATAAAAAGAATAGTCAGAACCAAATGCTACTGCATGGTAAAATAACTTTGATATTTTCATAAACATGCTATGCCACTGTAATGACTCATCTAAATTCATAAAAGAACCTATCAGATTCATGTGACATGTATCATATAACCTACATGGACTCCAGATAACCTCATCAAACATTTGTGTATATACTCGTACTACATAACATTGAACAAAAAATGAAAGCAAAGTCGCTCTACAACAGTCATATAAAAGTACAACAACCAACGGCAGGAACTAGACATAGTGCATGCAGCTGTACTACAGAAGGCGGAATATGAAAAAAAGTCTAAAAAATTGCAGCTACTATGCACATTGGACTGAGTTTTGAGCAACTTCAGTACAGGAAATGGAAAGCAAATTAGGGAAGACTGGCATTTACTATTTACAAATGCTGCATGTTCAAATGAAAAATCTAGCAATTTTTTTTTAGAATTTAAGGTATAAAAAGAGGCCAACCTCAAGCTCCTCCAAGCCCTCATTGGAGCATAAACTAGTAGAGCAAGTAGTTTCCATATAAACAACTGGCTCTTCTGCCACTGCAGGCTTTAAGGCTAAAGATTCAGTAATGTTTTCCAAGCTCCCAGCAGTATCTTTGACTTGAGTTCTATACTGAGTGTCATCTTCAAGCTCTTCAGGTTCTTCTGGAAAGGCTTGATGTGCATCATATGGCCCTGACATAATCTTTTCAATGGCTAGTTTTTCTTCTTCTTTAGAACTGGATATATCAGTAGCAGCAAGTATAGGGTTCACTGGTTGGTTGCTTGCCACAGATCCATTGGTCCCACTATCCCCAGGAGGAATCTCCCCTGGAGATGTCAGACAAAGTTTCTTGCTCTTTTGACCGTCACTACTATTGACTTCTGATTCATCCCATTTAATAGGAGTCATATCTTCATTAACTTCCCTGCTAGGGGGAGGTAAAGATACAGGGGACTTGGAATTCTTTGAACTATTATCCATGTCGTCCTCTGATCTCCTTCTCTTTTTCACATCATCCGCTCCAACAGCAACTCCTTTACCTCCTTGAGATTTTTCTGCTTGACCGTGACCAGAAGCCCTTAATTTAGAACTTTGTTTATTTTCAGCAGTTACTTTTGATGGGCCTGAAGGCCGGACACCACCAGGGAATATGTAGGCAGGTATGTTCCGGCGTTTCACATGGGACACATGAATATCCATTCCAGGTTTCCATAGTGTGTAAGCATTGACAGAATGCTTGAATTCTTCAACAGTTAGCCTTATATCAAACTGTTCACCTTCATTCACTGGAACTCCTTGCTTACGCTGCAGACCCATGAAGTAACAGTGATGAAAAGGTCTAGACTTGTCAGAGAATTCACCAGGATGTGGATGACATTGAAGCATGCCATAAGTGTGCCTCTCAATCTAGAAGTTTTAAGAACAGCCCAATTAGTTGTATATGAATAGGAAACAGACTATACACAGTTGTATGCAACCCCTTGAGTAGAAGACAATGTTACTTAACAGTGTCATACCTTCAATGTTAATTGGCGGAGACGAGACTCAACCCAGCCTTTCCATTGTCTAAGGTCATCTGCATTCTCTGCAGTTATTTCTATCTGTAGATAGTTCTTGTAAGATTCAAAAAAGGGATAAGGCTCAAAAAGAGCATTCCAATCAGCCTTGCTAGCCTCCATAGCCTACCATTACCAGAAACATGAAACTTATTAGAGCCAAATACCATCATAAACAAACAAAAATATAATAAATAAAAAAATTATATTTAACAAAAATCAAAGCCCAAACATATTGATCCACAAGATACTGTTGCTTCCCCAGTAACGACATTCATTACATTTAAGAAAACTTCCACCAACCAACCAACTTCCAATCCTTATCCCATCTAAAAAGGATCAATAACCACTCCTTTTGCTAAAACTTGAACATTGATAAAGAAATATAAACATATCCATTACCTATAAATAAAAAGTATAGGCAAACTTCCTAAACAATATCTAGCATAACAGTCCCACTGCCAAATCATCTGATCATGGAAAATCTAACATGAAGGCCCTATATGTCAAACCATATTGGGGCAATGGTGAAGTTCCTCTTACAGTTAATGGGATGAAACAGGTGAAAAATAACTTTGGACAAAATTTATTTCGATTTCCAAACTTTATGTTTGTATATACTGAACTAGACTGCTTGGCTGAGATTTTTACAGAACCTTCAAAGAAAACATTCTTAAAATCATGAAACCATACCTCACATATTTCACTCCCCCTCTGAAACTCATCTGACATAACACGTAATGTACTTGATGTAACATTGTAAGTAGAATTCATGCAAGGATAAGCAGGAGTAATTATAGGCATTAAATGATATCTATCCTTGGGATTTCTTCTAGGATCCCAAACAGGTAGTCCAAGAGATCCTTCTTCAATAGCACAGAGCATGACTGGATTTGGCCATCGCCATTGAGTATACACCCGAAAGAACCGAGACACTAACATATTAGGTAGTGCATTAGGATACAACTGGCATATTCGAGCAACAAGCAATGCCAGATTTATACCACCAAGAAAACCAGCAACCTGCCCAAGAAATAGCAAAAGGACGAATAGGAAAATCAGCAGTGTGTCAAAAATATAGTGAAAAAAATTTAGAATAGCAAACAAGCCATCCTGTGTAATAATGTTATACATTTGAATAAACACCACGACGCTTTGCCCAAAACCTCATGCATCTCAATGTTGTGCGAAAGGTCTGCATTTCAGAAAAAGAATACAATCAGTATGATAATAATGCCATAGAAAAGATGAACACAAAAATCTATGGAAGTACAAACTTCATATCCACCACCTGAATATTTGGAACCAATCGCAGGACCTGATCAGTTACTCTACAACCATTAAGACTAAGAACAGTTTGTTCATCAACATTTTGTAATATTGACTCCTGTGATATATCTAAGTCCTGCACACACAAAAAAAAAAAACATTATTACTAAATGGTTAACTAAAGGTAAGATACAATTAACACTCAAGATTCATAAAGCCTAAACAAAACACATATGGGGAAAGGAGATGTATCCACATCTGAAGAAGTTTAATTTTCAAAGGAACTAAGGGGCATTTAGTTTTAGAAAAAAAAATCATTTTCTATTTCCTGTTTTTAAAAGTCTGCATAGGACATTGTGAAAAAAGAAAATAAAATTGCTTTCACTATTTCCTCAAACTTTTGAAAACAGGAAACAAAGTGAAAACAGGGTAGCATTTTTGTAATTAAAAGTAAAAAGCCTAAACAGGAAATGTTTTCTGCAAGTAAACAGCCCTTAAGGGTATATTTTTGTCTGCTTTTGAAATATGTTTTAATTTCAAAAACAAAAGCAAACAAAAAACAATTAGAAGAGTAGTTTCTAAAAATTATTCTCAAAACTAATATTTCTATCTTCAGTTTTTAAAATAATAAATAAATAAATCATAATGTCTATAAGTTGTTTTGGCCTTTTACTTCCAGCTTTCTATGACCCTCGTGATCCTTGCACCCTCAGATCTTTCTCTGAATTATAGATTTTAAAAGTTGTTTTAGCTTTTAAAAACTGAAAAACAAAAACAACAATCAAGGTACACCTAAATGTTCTATTATAGAGCCCAAAAATAAGCTGCTTCTCTAATACCAATCACTTGTGAAATATCTACTATAATCAAGTAAAGGTTCAGGGAGAAACGGAGGATACTATCAAAATGATATTTAAAACACCGGGACTCTCATATTTTGTGATCTTCTTCGATACAGAATGCTTTCAAATTGTCTAAAATTCTGGGAAGGAGATATGGAGAGAAAACATATAAAGGAACAACAATTGTACATAAAACAATGTTATTTGTTTTTGCATAATATATAGATCACTTACTTCAGGAATAACCCACAAAGCTAATCTTGCATACAAGAGATCAACTGAAACACCATTAAACTTGAATTTCATCACAGGGACGTGAGCATCGGGCACAGGGTGCAATTCTGTTACTTCTTGCATCTCAGATAGCATTTTCCTCAGCTCACCAAAGAAGTCTTCCTGAGTCCAATTTAATAACAACTTTAGCTGATACAAGATATGACCTGGAAAAATTTCATGTACACAATAAAATGGCAAGAATTACAGACATCTCTGGTTGCATGTCTAGGTCCCACACAAAGAGTATCTATGTCAGCTCCAGGGCCATGCACCTACAGAATTTGGGAGGGAAATTTCAGTAAAACAAAAGTCACAAACAAAAAATGTTTCAATATATTGGATTGCATAGCCTTTGAACTAAGTTTTGGTCCTAATTTTCATTGTTTCTCCTTACAACCCAGTACATTCTGCTTCAGGGATGGATTATATTTGCCCCCACAACCTCAGCAATTTTTCTCCTTACAACCCAATACACATTACCAACGTTTCAGAAACTAGCTGAAAAAATTCTCAATGGAACTGTGATGAAGTGTATGTTTGCTGGTGTGGCATCTTTGGCAGGCATGTAATGCTAGAGACTTAGAATGAAAACAACTCTATCTTGTCTGTGACAGATTCTTGTTTTCACGTCATCGTAGTCAAAGGTAGTTGTTTTCTCTCAAAAGTTTATATGCAACATAAAAAATAATGATTGTGAAATATATAGTTTCATGTTCCTTCAATTCACAGTCTCAGATAATTTTTCTAGACAAGCTTTCTCCAGCAGGATGCTTGGATACAATANTATGAGAAGAGTTCAAAAACTATTTCAATAATGTAGGCTAATCCTTTACTCATTAATTATCCTAAATTAGGCCAATCCATTCATTTACGTAGATCGAGTTAATTTACAAAACTTTTAGTTTATTAAAAAATATATTATATTAAGTTAACTCACTTTTTTAACTATTATGGTGAATGTAATAATTTTTTAATTACGAATTTTCGGTAATGTGCCTTAACGCTTTTTCTTCTTGTAAGATATATAACCATTTTTTAACTATTATTTGATACGTTTAGGACTGAAACCTCAATGAAAAAAAAAAGTTATAAAAAACAGAAAAAACTGATAAGCAAAATTGCAAATGGTATTTTTCCAAATAGTTCAAGGTAAAAGATGATCATTACTTACATTTATATGCTATAATATAAGAATTAAACTTTTCCTAATTCACTAGAGGTTAATCATTTAACAAAATAGTTTAAGTTGAACTCATGATTGTTCCTACTTCAATGTTTTAACAAAATAGTATGGAATTTGGGTTTTCTCCCCAGACAAAAAATATCATGATAACAATATAGACTACACATAACTGGTCAAAATCTTTTTTATTTTTCCGGTGCAACATATTCTCATGTACATATCAATGAAAATTGATGATGGTTTTCTAGCTCGGGTTTATTTACTGCATCATAGTTATTACATAAATAAACGAGGAACTAGAAATGTCAATTTTACATAAATCAGATAGCTGCAGATTAAGTTTTGAGGTGTCTAAGAACTCTTGTCAGCAGCTTTTACCAAGGAGGTGAAGTTCAACCTGAAAATAATCAGTCAACATGAACAGAGAGAATTAAACACTTGAACAAAAATAAGTTTAAAGTAAAAGTAGGAATATGATTAATAATGGAATATACCTGATAAGAGGCTTCTTCAGCGGTGCAGGTGCAGGAGGCACAGTTAACAATGGTGCTGTTAGCTCAGCAGACTTTTGCAAAAAGGAAGAGATAAAAAGAATAGTCAGAACCAAATGCTACTGCATGGTAAAATAACTTTGATATTTTCATAAACATGCTATGCCACTGTAATGACTCATCTAAATTCATAAAAGAACCTATCAGATTCATGTGACATGTATCATATAACCTACATGGACTCCAGATAACCTCATCAAACATTTGTGTATATACTCGTACTACATAACATTGAACAAAAAATGAAAGCAAAGTCGCTCTACAACAGTCATATAAAAGTACAACAACCAACGGCAGGAACTAGACATAGTGCATGCAGCTGTACTACAGAAGGCGGAATATGAAAAAAAGTCTAAAAAATTGCAGCTACTATGCACATTGGACTGAGTTTTGAGCAACTTCAGTACAGGAAATGGAAAGCAAATTAGGGAAGACTGGCATTTACTATTTACAAATGCTGCATGTTCAAATGAAAAATCTAGCAATTTTTTTTTAGAATTTAAGGTATAAAAAGAGGCCAACCTCAAGCTCCTCCAAGCCCTCATTGGAGCATAAACTAGTAGAGCAAGTAGTTTCCATATAAACAACTGGCTCTTCTGCCACTGCAGGCTTTAAGGCTAAAGATTCAGTAATGTTTTCCAAGCTCCCAGCAGTATCTTTGACTTGAGTTCTATACTGAGTGTCATCTTCAAGCTCTTCAGGTTCTTCTGGAAAGGCTTGATGTGCATCATATGGCCCTGACATAATCTTTTCAATGGCTAGTTTTTCTTCTTCTTTAGAACTGGATATATCAGTAGCAGCAAGTATAGGGTTCACTGGTTGGTTGCTTGCCACAGATCCATTGGTCCCACTATCCCCAGGAGGAATCTCCCCTGGAGATGTCAGACAAAGTTTCTTGCTCTTTTGACCGTCACTACTATTGACTTCTGATTCATCCCATTTAATAGGAGTCATATCTTCATTAACTTCCCTGCTAGGGGGAGGTAAAGATACAGGGGACTTGGAATTCTTTGAACTATTATCCATGTCGTCCTCTGATCTCCTTCTCTTTTTCACATCATCCGCTCCAACAGCAACTCCTTTACCTCCTTGAGATTTTTCGGCTTGACCGTGACCAGAAGCCCTTAATTTAGAACTTTGTTTATTTTCAGCAGTTACTTTGGATGGGCCTGAAGGCCGGACACCACCAGGGAATATGTAGGCAGGTATGTTCCGGCGTTTCACATGGGACACATGAATATCCATTCCAGGTTTCCATAGTGTGTAAGCATTGACAGAATGCTTGAATTCTTCAACAGTTAGCCTTATATCAAACTGTTCACCTTCATTCACTGGAACTCCTTGCTTACGCTGCAGACCCATGAAGTAACAGTGATGAAAAGGTCTAGACTTGTCAGAGAATTCACCAGGATGTGGATGACATTGAAGCATGCCATAAGTGTGCCTCTCAATCTAGAAGTTTTAAGAACAGCCCAATTAGTTGTATATGAATAGGAAACAGACTATACACAGTTGTATGCAACCCCTTGAGTAGAAGACAATGTTACTTAACAGTGTCATACCTTCAATGTTAATTGGCGGAGACGAGACTCAACCCAGCCTTTCCATTGTCTAAGGTCATCTGCATTCTCTGCAGTTATATCTATCTGTAGATAGTTCTTGTAAGATTCAAAAAAGGGATAAGGCTCAAAAAGAGCATTCCAATCAGCCTTGCTAGCCTCCATAGCCTACCATTACCAGAAACATGAAACTTATTAGAGCCAAATACCATCATAAACAAACAAAAATATAATAAATAAAAAAATTATATTTAACAAAAATCAAAGCCCAAACATATTGATCCACAAGATACTGTTGCTTCCCCAGTAACGACATTCATTACATTTAAGAAAACTTCCACCAACCAACCAACTTCCAATCCTTATCCCATCTAAAAAGGATCAATAACCACTCCTTTTGCTAAAACTTGAACATTGATAAAGAAATATAAACATATCCATTACCTATAAATAAAAAGTATAGGCAAACTTCCTAAACAATATCTAGCATAACAGTCCCACTGCCAAATCATCTGATCATGGAAAATCTAACATGAAGGCCCTATATGTCAAACCATATTGGGGCAATGGTGAAGTTCCTCTTACAGTTAATGGGATGAAACAGGTGAAAAATAACTTTGGACAAAATTTATTTCGATTTCCAAACTTTATGTTTGTATATACTGAACTAGACTGCTTGGCTGAGATTTTTACAGAACCTTCAAAGAAAACATTCTTAAAATCATGAAACCATACCTCACATATTTCACTCCCCCTCTGAAACTCATCTGACATAACACGTAATGTACTTGATGTAACATTGTAAGTAGAATTCATGCAAGGATAAGCAGGAGTAATTATAGGCATTAAATGATATCTATCCTTGGGATTTCTTCTAGGATCCCAAACAGGTAGTCCAAGAGATCCTTCTTCAATAGCACAGAGCATGACTGGATTTGGCCATCGCCATTGAGTATACACCCGAAAGAACCGAGACACTAACATATTAGGTAGTGCATTAGGATACAACTGGCATATTCGAGCAACAAGCAATGCCAGATTTATACCACCAAGAAAACCAGCAACCTGCCCAAGAAATAGCAAAAGGACGAATAGGAAAATCAGCAGTGTGTCAAAAATATAGTGAAAAAAATTTAGAATAGCAAACAAGCCATCCTGTGTAATAATGTTATACATTTGAATAAACACCACGACGCTTTGCCCAAAACCTCATGCATCTCAATGTTGTGCGAAAGGTCTGCATTTCAGAAAAAGAATACAATCAGTATGATAATAATGCCATAGAAAAGATGAACACAAAAATCTATGGAAGTACAAACTTCATATCCACCACCTGAATATTTGGAACCAATCGCAGGACCTGATCAGTTACTCTACAACCATTAAGACTAAGAACAGTTTGTTCATCAACATTTTGTAATATTGACTCCTGTGATATATCTAAGTCCTGCACACACAAAAAAAAAAAACATTATTACTAAATGGTTAACTAAAGGTAAGATACAATTAACACTCAAGATTCATAAAGCCTAAACAAAACACATATGGGGAAAGGAGATGTATCCACATCTGAAGAAGTTTAATTTTCAAAGGAACTAAGGGGCATTTAGTTTTAGAAAAAAAAAAAAATCATTTTCTATTTCCTGTTTTTAAAAGTCCGCATAGGACATTGTGAAAAAAGAAAATAAAATTGCTTTCACTATTTCCTCAAACTTTTGAAAACAGGAAACAAAGTGAAAACAGGGTAGCATTTTTGTAATTAAAAGTAAAAAGCCTAAACAGGAAATGTTTTCTGCAAGTAAACAGCCCTTAAGGGTATATTTTTGTCTGCTTTTGAAATATGTTTTAATTTCAAAAACAAAAGCAAACAAAAAACAATTAGAAGAGTAGTTTCTAAAAATTATTCTCAAAACTAATATTTCTATCTTCAGTTTTTAAAATAATAAATAAATAAATCATAATGTCTATAAGTTGTTTTG